GGGTTAAATAGGGATGGATGCTAAAAAGTTTCATGGAGATTCTGCTTCCAAACTGACCCTCCAAGCTGTTGAAAGGTTTAAAGCATCACTAAGGGGTGGCGACATGAACCCAAAACTTTTACAAACAGAATCCAGGTGGATTTACACCTTTAAAACCCTGTCCCCCTTAGGTTTAAATGTATGAGTTCAACTACACAATTTTTATCAACTAAAACACGAAATGTTTGGATCTATAATTAATTTTGAACTTTCAGATTGCATTAGTAATATTATTTGCTATTTTGATTCTATGCCTATTTCGAAGTAACCACTTAACTATTGGTCTATAGAAAAAGATTGCCAAATAATTCCACCAAGTATGGTTCTTTTCTACCATTAATTAAATATCAATCATTTTGATAATTATCATTTTTTACCAAATAAATATCTATTTTTTCTCTTTTTTGGATTTTGCACACTTTGATTTTCTTCATCATTATATTTATTCCTACTTCATTTTTTGGTTTATATTTACCCTTTTTTACTTCACATTTTATTAGTGGTTCTTCTGCATTTGTTATTGGCAGATTAACTTATTGTTATTTGTGTAAATTAACTCGCATTGGTTTTTATCATCAAATAACAATAAAAGTTACATTTTAAACTGACAGTACTATAACCACATTTTTCCTATACTTTCAATTTGAGGGCTTACAAATCTCCGTCATATGGATAACCAATTTACACTCTAAATTGTTACCTGTATAGTGTTTAGACAATAATTTGGGTTTACATACTAAAGAGCTGCCTAATTTGGTACCCTTAAATGTGGCAATCCCACAAGAGTACCAGTTTAGAAGTTAAATGCTAAATGGAGAAATATGAAATGAACGAAAATATTGGCTGAATTTCTACTAAAAAAGAATGAACAAACAGACAAGATTTAGTTCAGACAAACTTTTTCTTTGTCCACATGTATTCAAACTAAACAAAAATTGCGGCCTTGCAAAAGTCCACTGCAGACTTCTCTTCAGAAGTCATCATCGTAAGATGGTGCCATTTCCAACCGCTATTTCCTTAAATCTTAGGCACATTGATAGACTTTCCTCAAATCTTGCCATCATACCCCTTGATTCTCCACGATGCATCTGAAAACTTACACTCTTTTAAACCGTTTGCCCCTTGTAGCTTGGTTGACATAGGGTCACAAGAACTTTCTTTATCAACTTCAAATTTCCTATTCTAAGCATGGACTCCAGATACACGAAACAATAATGGATCAGCCTGGAAATTTTGGGTTCACTAGTGCAGGACACGGTTTTTGGATTCCGTGTGTGCCCCTTTGATTCAAACACTAAACATTGCCGTTGAGCTCATTCCACTAGGGGACCTATGTCCACCAAGGTAGTCCAAGCAGAAGGCTGGCTGTCAGACATTCTTAGGTGGGTTAGACTTACAGTGGTGGGATTCAAATATTTTAATAACCAGTTCTGACTATGTTTCCAACTCCACAGAGTTGGCCCAAGACATTGTGCTGCCTGAGACCAAGATTCCATCCCCCACAGTCATTCACGCACAAACACAAGCACATCAACGTAGTCACACATATCTACCCTGGGGGCAAAAACACCCTGGGGGGCAAGGGAATGCTATTAATGCAGTAAATGCTTAAATCTTGTATATCATGCCAATGAGCAGTAAATGCGTAAACTTAGTATATCATGCCAATGAGCAGTAAGTGTGTAAACTTGGTATATCATGCCAATGAGCAGTAAGTGTGTAAACTTAGTATATCATGCCAATGAGCAGTAAGTGTATAAACTTGGTATATCATGCCAATGAGCAGTAAATGTGTAAACTTGGTATATCATGCCAATGAGCAGTAAATACAAAAATTAGGTATACCATACCAATGAATCTGTCAAGCTTTGTTTAAATCTGGTTTTGCTTAAACAGAATATTAGGAATATTTGCTTTTCTTAAAAACAGCAGGATAATCTTCATCCAGCAAGAAAATAATTATGGGTGGGGGAGAGCAGGAGGGGGAGATAAATACTTAATAAAGGCTGTATTATCAGGAGAATTAAACGAAAGCCAGAAGTGGTTTTTAAGCAAATGAGGAACGGACAAATTAGTAATGTGTTTCTGGTCTGCAATTAAAATCCTATACTTGGGTCTCAGAGGACAATCCATGCATGGTTTTTACATCATCCATGCTTACAATCTGTATCTAGAATCAGATGCAAACTCATTCATTGTCTTCATGAATACACATGTACAAATGGATTTGTGTGATTATTGGTGCAATCTAAATGGTGACTTGCACTACACACCTGACATTGTTACTATTGATAGAATTATTTTAGCACTCAATGCTCGAGGTTTTATGGCAGACTTTATTAATAGTCCAGTCGATACAAATATAGTGAAAGTTATATTTTAAGAAAATGCTAATTTGCTACACTATGCAGCTATTTTCGCTAATTATATTCCATAATCCCTTATTTGAGTTTATAAATTAAACAGGGTATTGCGTGTTACATAAATTGACGAGGACATAGCACATTGTAGATCACATTTAAGAATTAGCTGGAAAAAAGCAGAGTTGAAGTAGTTATTTTGGCCCACAGCTTGCAATACTATGGCCAATTCTCCACAATTAAACCATATTTGGTGTGAAAAGACTGGGCTTCTGCAAAGACCGTGTCTTGGCACTGGAAAAAAAGTTAAGTAAGGTTTATTATCTTTATTATTGTTATTACCAGGATTGATTTTTCGTGGACCTGGGCAGCGGAAGGCGTGGTTTGAATGCACTGCACCTTGAATAGGAGGCATATGTGATGAGGATGTGAACACACCCCCTAACCCTATTGAAAGGTGGAAATGGAGCACACAGCCCCAAATGCCTCATTGGTTATCTCAGGTGCCAGCTCAACCCACGCTCCCCTTAAAAAGAAGCATAGAGAGGCAAACTGTTTGTATGCACCAGATGAAGGTGCTTTAGCAGCGCTGAAACGCACGTCATGCTCTCTTGAATTTTTTTTTTAAACTCACTGCACATTTGTTTTTTGCATGGATGTTAGTTGTGTGGGGTCCTTGCAGAGATTCATGCGAGAGTAGCATATATTATGGTGGGGTCGTTCTAGGGTATATTTACGGCAGCATGGAGGGTTTACACCATTTACACCGAGAGGGTTTATTTATATAAGCAGCTCACAGCCTTCCTTTATCTAATTTTTTCAGATACCACCTCAAAGTCGACTTACTTTTCAAGTTAGCTTTATGAAGGCTTAGCTATTCATGGCCACAGTTGAAGGACCAATTTGCAAACTTTGTGGGTGGTTACACTGTTACCACTCCCCCATTGTAGCGAATTCACAAGTCCTTATGTGTCCATTTTTTCAAGATAATCCTACCACCTAGGGGACATTTATTGCAATACAGGTATTTCATGTAGGGGTATTATTGCCACATACCCCATTTCTTTTGGACTTTTTAGTCCACTGTAGCCGGTAACCCTGTGAATATTGTCCATCAGGTTGGTTGTAACTTTGTGTGTATCTGCCTTCTAACCCATTTATCAAAACCAGCTTCAATTACCCGGGCCTTCCCTACCCCGGATATCTGCTGAGCCATTTGGCTCTTTTTATGGGCTCATATATGTTTGTATGTGTGTTACTAAAGTCCTTCTACATTATAATTCAATAAAGTGTGTTTTTACTCTCTCAAACTTAAAGGGTTCTTTTGTGTCCTCTGGACTTTATGTCCATTGGTCATTTCTGTGTACAATTTTCATCCCCTCCTAGGTCCTCTTCACACACACCATTAGTCCCTGACTAGGACACTCTTTTTGTTTGGTAAAGGTTTATAAGCATTAAATTTTTATATAGAAGGGAAATGGTGGGAAGAGACAGTGGTCACCTTAGCAGCATAGACCTTATAGATCAACAGGAAAAAAAAAGTATTATTTTCGAGATAATAGTTTTAATTGATCGCATTGATTTTTTTATGTTAATTTGAACATGAAGTAATCATCTGTCCGTTTCATGACTAGCAAACATTCCGTATCCTATGGCAACATTTATATTTATCGATGGTTGCTATTTTTGTTGATATTGGTCCATTAATTTTACCAAGAAATGAGAAAGTTACATATCTTCCACCCCAGGGGGTGTTGCTTCTGATATCTATTATATAACAACGTAATAGAATGTTAAGTTTTAACTAACTACACAGCATATTAGGAGTAGCTGGTGCCCTCGGCGGATAGACTTTACCGAGCCAGACAATAAATTATTCATAAACAGCCACTACTCCAGGCAAGAAACATTTAAATTAAATGAAACACCAACGCAAAGGAAATATGACATTTTGAAATCCATTTTACTGTTCCTTCTAGTGTACGTATATGTGGTGCAGGAACTAATGCATATTTTTCACATGGCAACAAAATGATTATTTCTACTTGAAACGTCAGACATCCGGGGTGATCATAACGTAAGTAGTGCGTCAGACAGAAAAGGACTGTTTGTTGCAATAATTAGATAACATTTGTGATTTTCATTATCTTTTAGGGAGGTAGTGTTTGGGCAGACGGGTGCTATGATGAATGTGTGAGGAAGCAAGTATTGAGAATATAGCTGGGGTAGCAAGGCAGTTCCACTGGATCATTTAAAACAATATATATATATTTTATTTGGCAATAATTTGAAAACGTTTGGCATGTAATTCCTGAGCTAGTTGTCAGACATTTGGAACCAAGTCAGCCCAATTAAGAGGGTATTCGATGCTGAAGTACTGATAATTATCCAAATCAAACAGGATAGACCTTTATGAAGGTCTCTATCTTCACAGACAGGGCTAAGAATTTCCACAACTGCACTATTAAGAAATAAATATATTTAATGTATATAATTCTTGCAAAAAGACAAAAAATGTTACTTACCGTAAATGTATTTTTCCTGCAACACTAGTGTTATCACCTTCTCGTGCAGTAAAAGGTGCTTCAAGCTCTCACTGCCCTTAGAGGGACACAATAGGCACCCAGACCCTTCAGCTCAACTACGTAATCTGGGTGCAGTATCCCAGGTCCCTTAACCCTGTTTTTAAGAAACTGCAATAATTATCTTTGTGGATTAAAAACCATCTCTGGTGGCTGTCTACCAGACAGCCACTAGAGCATGGGTCCTCAAACTCCGGCCCCCCAGATGTTGCTGAACTACAACTCCCATGATTCTTTGAATTACATAGCTAGCCAGAGAGTCATGAGAGTTGTAGTTCAGCAACATCTGGGGGGCCGGAGTTTGAGGACCCATGCACTAGAGGGACATCCAGGCCATCAGGCCATTTTGGTCGCTGACACTAGAAGTCCTCACGCTATACATGGACATCCTGCGTCTGCTAAAAGCCCATAGGAAAGCATTAGGTCTCTGGTTGCCGAGCCAGTGCAGAGGGACATTGCAATGTACTGAGGTAAGTGCCAGAAGGTTTTTTTTAACCCATTCTGTACCACAGGAAGGCGCATGACGGAGGGGGAAGCTCTAGTGCCAGGAAAACAACTTTGTATTCCTGGCACCATAGTTTCTCTTTAAATTGCTTGTTAATCCCTAGTGTTGTACTGTTTCTAATTGGTTTTAGTTACCCTACAATTATTTTTTCCTTAAGATTAGAGGCCGTGCACTTCTATTTCCTTACATTTTTGCATCAGCTTGGCTTGTGTACTTTCCAGGACATTTGAGGGACTTTTAAAGTTTTTTTTCATGCAGACCTGCCTGCCTATTTTGCTGCCAGAAAAGGTGATATCCCTAGTGTTGCACGGCCTCTATATATCTCAAGCTCTAAACACTTACCTTTCACTGGCAGCAGATGCTTGGCATCCATTGCTCAGTTAATGTTTCTCATGGAGAACTTAGCACTGAGAACAAATCTCCAGTCTTAAGCTTTTCATAGGATTTACATACAAATTAATTACATAATATGTAAATTTTAACTCCCACTAGCCTCAGAGAATCTCGCTGAGCATTATAGGAGTTGTCCTACACTCGGTTTAATGGAACATACATTTCCAACAGAGCAGTTGGTGTTTTTTCCTCTGACCCAGGAGGAGCAGTTTTTTTCTCTATTAGAGAGTTAGTGAGATTGCCTGAGATCCGGGCAGCAGCAGGTTTGACACTGTGAGCGTAACTCACCCAGCCATGGGCAGCCTGTCTACAGTGTCCAGTGGTGGCGCTGCAAATGAATATTAGCCATTTATCTCTGGAATTAATATTTGTTAAGAGGAAAGGCTACAAGGGCAGGATCTTTGCAAAATATTCTCCTAAGTAAGATGAAGTGGTTATGGTGCTTTGTGTGACCCTTTAAGCAGCCATTCCTCCACATAGAGGTTCCCCATCACCACTATCCTGACTCATGTATAAACTGGAGGAGAGACTCATTCTGAATGTTCTACAAACTTACTGCAACTCTCTCTGCATTAACTACCCTGCTTGGCCAGCTAGCAAGTCTGAATGTCAGCAAAGTGCACATGCCTCCTATCCTGGCACACATTCAGATATCACCCTCACTCCCCCCACCACCGTATGCCCATTTCTTAATCCAGTTTCCAATCTCCTTGTGTTATGGAAGATATATTATACTCCCCTCTGCGTCTCTCTGATTCTTTAAGCAGACAGACAGAGTCTATGAAATGCAGATTGTTAATGGCCCATACACCCCACAGCAAGGCTTACTACAGTAATATTCCTGCATTAATAACCCGGGTGTTACATTGTCCCTCATTAGTTATAACTGGAAGCCAGGGGCAAATGTGTCAAATATGTAAATGGTTAGTGTTGCACATCATTTACCGATACGGTCTGACCCACCTGTTAGAAAATATCACAATGCAGAGGCAATCAGCCAGCTCTGTCTGCAACCACAGGAATCCTATCTTATTTTAAAGAAAGGTTCTTAGGATAAAGTCCCAGTGCGAGAGACCGTGAGATCAGAAAGGCAGCTTTGCTGAGAGAGATAAGGACGAGTTAGATATAGCACAAACATACACCATAACAAAGTACAATATGTACAGCCAGCAGCAAAAGGCAACATTATCTAAAGATTTTACCATTTCTAGGCACTAATTATAGTTATTCAATATAAAATAGACATTAATATTACGAACACAAATTATAGAAATATTGAGCTTTTTGTTTCCCTGTTTTGATTTTTTTCACATATAGTTTATTTTTGCTATAATATGAAATGTTTAAACATTTCTAAACAGCAACAATGTATCAGTGCAATACGTACTATAATAAGAATATAATATAATTACTATAGCATTCTGAAAGCAATCTCTCTATATAATGTTTATTAACCCCTTAATGACTCATGACGGTAATATTCCGTCATGATTTCCTTTTATTTCTGAAACTGTGTCCTTAAGGGGTTAACTATACACAAAGTATATTAAATATTCAATAAGTAGCATTTTATCGATTTTCAGATTGCTCTAATAGCTTTAATTAGAAACATAGAATGTGACTGCAGATAAGAACCATTCGGCCCATCTAGTCTGCCCAATTTTCTAAATACTTTCATTAGTCCCTAGCCTTATCTCAAATTTGAGAGAACTTTCATGGTGAATAATAATCCAGTATATTCATTGAAGCCATTGATTCCTTATACATTTTTTTTGGCCTCATTATTGACCATAATGTTTATAGTGATTTGTGTATGTGTGTGTATATATATATATATGTGGAAGGCATATGCCTGAAATTGTGGGATGGATTATTTGTCATAGTTAAACCCCAGTAACCCCTGCTTACCTGTCATCGCAGATTTCGGTTTGCAAAGACTCTGACGTCATTTCTGCCGGTTGTCCGTACGGACATCCAAATTACTTTCGCGCAATTTCGTGAGTATTAAAAATAACGAACCCCTTTGGCAACATACATTCTACAAACTGTAAGTAGTTTGGTTATATGAACACCTTTTATTTCATAAGTTTCTCTCATACAATTCGTATCAATTTTGTGGGTTTCTCCGTTCGCTTAAATAAAGGAATTCATATTTCAATCTGCTTCGTTCATGTGCTCTACTGATATTTCATTCGTATGGGGAAAGTGTACGAACGTCATCAGGTCAATGCCGGTCGTGCCAAAATTTACAATAACTAATTCGTATGAAGGTAGCGTTCGAGTATTTTGTTTCTCTTCCTTCCTAGGAATTCCAATTCGTTTAACTTTCTTTTTTTGCAGTGCATATGGAAGTTACAGAAAGCTTGAGGTACCCCAACGACATTCCTCAGGCAACTCAACAAGTAGTACAGAGGCATGGTCGAAGAGTCATGCACAATTTTTTATATTGTAAACAAGCTAGCGAAACTATGAACAAGCTAGCGTGGTATTATTATTTAACAGTTTGCCGATTATTTTGTTGCAAACCACAAGGCTTAACATCATATTATTACAGCATATGCACCACATAGGCGAATTGAATATCCAAAGCATTAAAGTACAAGAGGGGTATACATTGCGCTTGAACTATTGCGATTTGATTTATGTGTATATACGAGGTGTCCTTATGTTTAACTATGTATGTCTGTGGCAGTCCTACATAACAGGTGAGTCTGGCTGTGCAACTATGTACTGGGTGGGCGAAATTACGGCGCCAGGTTAGGCTCTCTGTATGTTTATCACCCTACTAGAGTCTGAGGCTGGCGGGGGGGTGGGGGGATCTCTGAATATGTGGTAACCATTTCGGTTATGTCATGTGAGCTGCGTGGGGCTAGCGAGTGCCGATTAAGCGGGTCTATGTATATGTAACGTGTGGCATGTTGTATAGTAGGGCAGCTAGTGAACAGCAGTAGCTAATGGTTATTAGGCCGCAGGCCAAGTCCACATTGCATACATCAGATGGAGGCGGCTGTGCTTTAGCCATGTTTATTCTGCCGCTTAACGAAGGTAGTTGCCCTCTCTAGGTTCCATCTATGTGGTGTTCTGGTTACGCTTCGGGTTTATGCGGATTGCAGCCTTACTTGAGATAGTCCCAGTGTGGGTAGTAGGCTTTGCGCCCCCTGTAGGTCAAAGACTTCATGTCTGGTGTTGCCTTGTAGGACGGAGAGGGAGCGGGTAGGTCGCCATCTGTACTGTATTTCTTGTTGCGTGAGGAGGGATGTGAAGGGCTTGAGGGACCTCTGCCAGGCCAGTGCGTCACCCAAGATGTCCGCAAAGAAGGTGAGCGACATTGATTCGAACTGGTATGGTGTGTGGTCTTGGACCGCTGCCAGTGTCACCGCCCTGTCTCTCCTCTGTTGGAAGCATATGATAAGGTCTCTGGTGGCTGTGCTAGGCGCACTTGCCGGTTTTGGGGCTCTGAAAGTGCCATTCAGCTCTATAGTTTTTGCTTGCCGCAGGTGGAGCAGAGCCTACAGGAGCCTGCGCACCAAGTGCGGTAATTCCGCTGTTGGGATATCTTCTTTTATGCCCCGTACCTTAATGTTGTTCGCATGGCACGTGTCTTCCAGGGCTGCGAATCTCCGATCATTGTCTGCATTGCGCTTTTTCAGCCCCTGGATCTCCTGCTGTATGGAGGTGATTTGCGCACCTTGGGTATTGGAGGTGTTTTCCAGGGTGCTCAGTCTTCCCGATAGGCCTTGGATGTCTGTGCGCAGACTGGCCACATCAGAGTGGATGTTTGCCTGCAGGTCTGCCAAAAGTTTCTTAAGCACCTCTGCTGTGACAGGTGCAGAATCGGAGCTCAAGGATTTCGGCTTTGGTGCCCGCCCGGCCGGTTATACGTTTCTTCCTCCAGTGAGGAGTCATCTGAGAGCTCTGAATAGGCCTCTGGATAGTCGGCCACCTTGGGCCCAGCAGCTCCATGAGTTTTCCTCAGCAGCTCTCCGATATCCAGGCTTTGCCATGGCCCATCGGTTTTTGTTTTTTGGTCTTCCGACCCATGTTGTAATCCGGCGTTTTTTAGCGTCTGTTTGCTGGAGCTCTGAGGCCATGTGACCGCTCAGCTCCGTGGTTAAGCTCAGCTTCGTTTCACTTTCATATTAATACCAAGTAAACGCACTGGGTTTCATGCATTACTGTTCTGCTTTTATTTAGGTTAATTTTTTTATTTTATATTATATTTATGCTGGTTTCTTTTAGGTTGGTTAAAATTATTCATAAGTTTCATTTCCAGTAGAGAGTTACATTAATTTCCATACATAATATCTTTCGGTTCATTCTCTGTCGTTT